GTCTCAGAAAGCAAGAACAAAGTTAATATGACTGTTACGGTGTGGGTTCTGGGGACCTGTTATACAGAAAACAAGAATAGACCCATTGCGTATCCAAAAGCATGTCGTAAGAGTCAACTAATTGGGAGCTTCCTTCAAAGTCGGAGTGCATCTGCCTGAGAGGCAAAGAACCAGCAGTCTGCATACAAATAAGTCAGATCTGTAAAACAGATGCACACGCAACACTTAGGTTCTGGAACAGGTCTGCAGTCTAGAAGTGGATGAACAACCAGAACTTTCCGCCGGAGTTTACATCTGGTGAACGCTAAGAAGAAGAAGAAGACATGACTGTCCAGCAGTGGAGAGGCTTACTAGGTTGTAATAGGATAGGATTCAGCACAGCACATTTGAACAGGCAGTTAGAAAATCCTGGTCTCTGTAGATAATGTACAGAGATTAGTTTTAATTGAAGGAAACGGATAGTCATATACAGGGTTCTGAAGAAATTGGGAAAGAAAAGGGAGTTGCTGAAGGAAATAAAGACACAAGTGAAATCTTTTGACAATATTGAAAGACATAAACACTCTTTTAAAAACCATACTGGAGGGAAATGCAAGAAGAAGTATAACATCAAGAAGCGGATGGGAAGCAGTCTGAGTGTACGTCCAGGGCGAAAGACAGCTTGTTGGAGATCCATTATAGCCAACCTTCATTGGGCAGATGGCATCTGATTGATACGGACTACCATTGCTTCTGAAAAAAAAAATGTTTAATGAGACCTGAGCATCTTGATGTTGTTTATTCTACTTAATTGTGATATTACACCTGTGCATAGGCATGTGATTGTTGGTTGGTTTATTTTAAAAGTTTTTAGGCTTTTAAAAAAAAAATAGATTGATATTCACACCTTGGAAGAGTGGAGTCTCATATAATATTCCTAGAGACAGCAGTGGATCCAAATTAGCAAGCCTTCATTATGGAGATGGCACGTAATTTTATGAAGATGAACATCATTTTGGTTCTCTTCTGCAGGTTTGGGTATGGTGGTTACATGGGAGGTGGACCTTATGGTGTTCCTCCACCGCATTGGGTAAGATTCTTGTCATTTTATCAATTATTGTATTTAATGTAGAAAGTGATATGTAATTTTACAGCATGTGGCTTAACTAACCTTTGTTTACTTCTGTATTTATTTATTATGATCATGTTACGCTTATGACACATGTGGTGTCCCTAAAATCTGGACACACAGGCAAAGTACATATTTTCAAGAAGTGACATTTATTAACATTTGATTCTTTTGTAATATGAAATGTCTTCAGTGACTTCTGAATTTTTTTTAATCATGATCACGTTATGCTTATGACACATATGGTGTCCCTAAAATCTGGACACAGAGACAAAATACATATTTTCAAGAAGTGACGTTTATTAACATTTATTCTTTTGGAATATTAAATGTCTTCATTGTGATTTCCATCGTTTACAATGCAAAGGTTGATGCACTATGCATAGTGATAATGCCTTGACCTGACAAAAACTAATGAGGCAGGCCTTCAAAAACATGAAAAGTAAATGCTAATTTTTAAATCAGAGACGGGAGTGATGATTTTGGAGAAAATGATGAGGCAAAATAAGACAGAAAATGTGATGGGGAAACAGCAGATGGATGACAACAGTCCCCCCCCCCCCCCCCCCCCCCCCAAAAAAAAAAAAAACTGCCACTTACGGCTTCTATTTTACCACTTGTGCAGTGTAGGCAGGGTTTTTTTTTAACCCTAAGAATTTACGGCTGCATGGCTAGTGCTGTCGCCACGACTGTGCAAGTGAGAATTTTATTTTTTCCCTGACAAAAAAAATCCCCAGCCTACCGAGGATTTGAACCTGGGTCTTCCGCTTGAGAGTTCAGCATTCTAACGTTGTAATCTGACGTTCTGATCGGGCGGGAATAATGATTAAATTGAATGGAAAAGATGCACACGTGCAAATCCAACATTTTGGTCAGATTCTGTATTAGGGAAAACAATCATAGGAATCCCACATCAGAACAACAAACAATAAGCAGGGCACACAGAGAAGGAAACACTGTATACAGAAATCAGTCTAGGGAACAATGCTTCTATAGGTAACAATTGCTGGTAATGCTTGATTACTGTGTCCTTAAAACTGCCAAGCGTTTTTGTTACAAATTTAAATAAAGTGTAAGCATGATGAGGAGTGGCTGGGCTCTCACGCAGGAGACCCAGGTTCGAATCCTTGGTAAAGCTGGGGATTTTTTCTGTTGGGGGCAAAATAAAATACCCACCTGCGCAGTCGTTGCCACATCACTAGTCATGCAGCTGTAAATCTTCAGGTTCACATACCCTTCTGCCTACACCGCAAAGGCAGTAAATATGACACCTGCTAACAGACATGCATTTTTTTAATACTCCAATAGAACTATGGGCCAGGACCTGGTAATTTTGGTGGTCCTAGAGGACTACCAGGTCCAATGGGACCACCTCAGGGTCCATATTGTAACCCAGGAATGGGCCCTGCACTTGACCATGGAGGCTTCCGTGGACCACCTCAGAGATTTCAATTTTCTGATGGACCTCGGGGAATGCCACCAAATGTGGACATGGATCACAGACAGGATGGTCTTTCTGAGATTGGAGCACCAGACTTTTCTGGACCAAACTCCCACTTTAACAACAGAAACAACAAACGTAAGTAATTTCACTGCTCAGTGTATTTGCAAATAAAGAAATTGTTTAGATGTGAGTCCTTGTGTTGTTGTTTTAATAAACCTGATTATGTTTAAGTTTATTTTACATGTTAACTTAAATCGTTTTTTTCTTAGTCGAAAATTGAATCTTTATACAAATATGAGGTGAACAGTTCTTATTGGTTAATGTGGATGCAGTAGTGTTTAGCCACGACTGAGGCTCCTACTGGTGAAGACTTCTCCACTGATCATCCTAGAAACAGGACCTTAAAAAACTGATGTGTGTGCAAAACTCACATCCTGAAATAAGATCAGAGTCCACAATTGGTCAAACAACCAGGATTTCTGCCAGTTTACAGCTAAAGTTAGTTGTATATACTTTACAGGACATTAACAGTACACCCAGTCTATTTTTTTGTGTTCTTTTGTGTGTGTTTTGGTTTCGCTAGGCAGTTTTACATTTAGTAGTTTGCCTTGCTTGTGAACAGTCGCTGTTGATGCCTGTGTTGCAGTCAACACAAGGCGGTGTGCTGCCAAATCACCTGCAGCTGGAATTGAATAGGGTACCTCGGAATTATGAATTACGTTTGCACTGCTTAATCCACAGACAGCGACTTAGTTTTCAGCTAGTGAACACACACAGATTTGTTAATGTAGTAACAGGGTCAGGCGTCCCCATAATCTTATCTTGGCATTCAGATGACATCCAGTTTGATATTGCTTTTTCTAGGATTATCTGTATTACTTGGATGTTTCTCATAAAATTTCTCATAGATTGATTTATCCTGATCATTTATTAGTGTGTAGCAATGGATAGCATACATTATCTCTAAATGTTGTTATTGTTATCCTTGATATCACTAGTGCCACTAGTGTGATGGGCATTTTCCCATTGATGCCCAGAGAGCAGCACTATTTCATGCACATTTACAAGCATTTTGCTACCTTCATTCTATCTTGTTTTGCATAATCTCTAAATGCTGTCTAGAATATTTCATATTCACTTCCTCTTATACTGTAGATTTCCAAAGTGTACAGATATAGTAAGACTGTAACCTACCATGCATGTTGTAAGAATCCCAAAAGTTATGAAAATATATCCCTTGATTATCCAGACCTTATTAGTCAGTTTTCTGAATGTTGTTTTTTTCCAGATAAAGGAAACATTTGCAGTAACTAAATCTTTACTATATTCTGTAAAAGATGTAACAGGGCATATAATAGAGAAACCGGCAGGCAACTAGCTGATTGGTTTCGTGAACATTTCAGGAATTTTGAAAAGGAGGCGCTCAAATCAGTCTATCTCCATTTCAACAGTTCTGACTACAGCGGTAGAGATCTTTGTCATTGCTATAAATCTAGTTCTGAAAAATCTCTTTCGAAAATTGTCTTTTGTCTTTTCCTTAGTTTAGGTGTTCTTAGCCCAGCAGGTAATGCAGCATAAAGTAAGTCCCTCTCCATACCTTCAGACATAAAGGGCTTGGCCTTTATTTTATAGATTAATCAGCACATGGCAGGTGCTTTTGTCAGCATCATGCTGGCTGCCTCTACTTCCCAGGTCTGCACATGGTACCCACTCAAGGCTGGGGCCACCTAGAAGCCAAGTTAATTTTTGAAGAAAATCCCCCCCCCCCCCCTTTCCCCTGATCAGGATTCAAACCTATGACCTTCCAATCCGAAGGCGAGCCTCTAGCTGCTACACCGCAACGATTCCTCATATTCAGCATACTTTCAACAAAATATTATTATTCTTTCATTCCTTTTATTTTATGAATTAAATTGTTTCTATCTGTTATTGTTACCATTTATGATTTATTGGGCAGAAGGAGGAGAAGAAACATTTAACAGAAAACAATTGTAGTGTTGACATGTGACAAGACTCTTTACTAGATTTTACTCTCTAGATAAGACCTTTCAAAACTTTTGTCATGAATTATGTTTATCTAAAAAGTGTAGCCAGCATGAAAAAGTTTGTAAAGCTCTATCTAGATCAGTGTTTATCAACATGGGGCTCAATTCGAAAATCGGCATAAGAATTTTAGAAAGGCTTAGGTGGGGCATAGCACAACAAAAGGCTGGGAAAAATTGATTTAGACCAGTGATTCTTAAACCTCCTAAATCCGCGCCCCCTCAATACTCATATTGTGGCAAACCATAAAATATTTTGTTGTTGCTACTGCATAAGCTCAGTAAAAATGTGTTTTCTGATGGTCTTAGGCGACCCTTGTGAATGAGTCACGACCCACATGTTGAGAACTGCTGATCTAGATAATCATATCACTGTACTGATCTGCTTTATGAAAACTTTAAACAGAATCTCCAGGTGCTGGTGGCATAAGATTTCAGCTGCCAAAACGTAAAAACTTTAACAGCAGCAATAATTCTGTGGAAAATCCTCTAAAGCCGCCTGTCAGCAAATTTTCTCGCTCAACTGCACCGATACAGTCAGCGCAGAACTCCTCAGATAGCATGGCGGACACAAAGAGCAATTCAGTAAATAGTAATAGAAGTGAACCAGACCGAGGAAGTGGGTAAGTTTTGGTGTGTATTAATGTAAAGTGCTGTCTGAGCTTTTCAATGCCTGTTTGAGATGGGTTTGCCCTGAAAGTGGTGATACATTACCTAAAATATAATGTGGAATTTGGATCTTTCAAGTGTTAGTTATGGAAACTTCCATGTGATGGTATCATATATCATTACTGATGAATTCTTACTGATGATATATCATCACTGATGAAATTTAATATTGGCCAATTACACAATATATTGACATTTTATTATTAAAGATCATCATCTAGCTTGAAAGATTAAAGAAAGTTTATATTTGGTGAACAGAGAAAGAAAAGATATAAAGGCAGTTGATATAGTTTTCACATTGTGGCTGGTACTTGTAAATATGTGTACAATAATTAATGTAAACATTTCCTTCCCCATTACACATATTGTCTAATGTGACAATTAAATTTTGCATCATTTGTCCCCAGATGAGTTCGGGGGGGGGGGGGGGGGGGGGGGGGGGGGGGGGGGGGTAGAACAACTTTTTTTTAACAAGCACGTTTGTGTGTACATTTGTAAACTCCAGCGAGGAGTCTTGGTTTTTTGTTTGCGCGTGCATCCATTTTTACAGATCTTTGCAGTCTGTTGTTTCCTTGCTTATCATTTTGTAAAAAGCCAACTAATTAGGATTTGCTGAAATGAAAGGTGCAGTGCCAGAAAGTGCAGACATCGCTGCCTGTCTGTAAACCACAATGAAGAAGAAGTGGAAACATGGATTAGCTTGTCCCTGTGAATACCACGTAATAGAATATGGTGCAACGTTGAGCTCTTGTTCTTATATAGATATTGTTGCCTGAATTATTTTTCTGTCTTTTTTCAACAAATGCAGGTCTACAGATGCTGCTGGAGAATGGCCGCAAGCTTTAAAGTATGTTTATTCTCTTGCTGTTGATTGATAATTTGGTTCACTATAACATTTTGTTGTCTGTCTTGTCCATTCACTTAGAGTGTTTTGTTTTATAATTTTTGTGTGTGTAAAAATGTGTCTTAATTAGTTTACCTTTAGTGTTTAAAATAATACTTCTATGCGAGTAATTTGTATATTATTGTCAGTATTACACTGTTATGTGTGTCTAGTTTAATTTATTATTAGTGTTCACTATTGTACTTTATGTGTGTCTTGTAGTTAATTTATACTTTATATTTATTAAATGCTAGATTTAATTGTCATCTAATCTTGGTCTCCTGCTGCCCTGTATATTATATATAGGCCACATGGAAATATGGGTCTAACTATAACCCTATATTGAATATCCTGTTCTTTTACTACATCTTTGTCTCCACCACCACCGTATCTTTAGTCATTGCCCCTAAGTGCACCCCAGGACAAACAAATGTTTTGCCTCTGGCTTATATAGATATGTGGTTTCAGGAAAGATACTAGTGAAATATATGGTTTAAAAAAATTAAATTTAGCAGAAGTAATAGGAAAAAAATATTCAAAGGGATATAACTCTAGCTAAAGTTTACTTTTACTGATTGTCACAATAAATAAAGAAATGCACATTAACCTGGGTTGCAATGTGACTGTTAAATTAAACATTGCAGTCATAATGGCAAATGAAAATGTAACCCTTGTTATTGGTCACGGCTTTTGAGAAGAAAACACTTCGTTTGTAATAAGCACACTTGAAATACAGAAAGGGTTTTGTGATTTATTGTATACATATATTTGTCCTTAATTATATGTATAGTTCAACTCATACGTCCTTTTCAGGACGTAATTTTTCGTTATTTGAAGCCCCACCCTGGCTTTTGCCAGGGGCCGCAATATAGGCAGGCCATAAATATGGCCAAATGTCTGAACGCGGTTTCTGGGACCTCTCCACGGCGACCCTCATCCGCATGGTGGCACTTTGTGTCATCGGGTGTTTATCGCTTGTGTGATGTCCTGGTGGGGTAGAAAGTCATTCATTCATTCATATGTATAGTTATGATTAACTCTCTATCATCCTTTTCAGGATGAAATTTTTTATTTGAAGCTCCACCCTGGCTTTTGCCGGGGGCCGCAAAATAGGCAGGCCATAAATATGGCCAAATGTCTCAACGCGGTTTCTGTGACCTCTCCATGGCGATCCTCATCCGCATGGTGGCACTTTGTGTCATCAGGTGTTTATAGCTTGTGTGATGTCCTGGTGGAGTAGTCAGTCAGTCAGTCAGTATTCATAGCTTACTATCAGGATTCTGTACTGTACTTTTGTGTGTGTGTGTGTGTGTGTCTTGTTTGAGCTGACAATTTTCTTGTTGTTTCTAAAACCTTTCCAGGGATTATGTTCAGAGAGCATTTGCTGCTGTCAGTGAAAATGAGAAAGATCAGGTTGAGCTGATACTGAAGGATAAACTGACAAAAATATTTAACTCCCCTGGAGGTGCAGGTTCTGTCAACTGGGAAACAGAGCCATTGCCAACGTACGTAAATGAATACATTTATTTGACACAGGTTTTGTATTTACACATATCACAAAGTAACAGTGTGGTGGTGCAGCGGCTAGATGCCTGCCTGTCTAACGGTCTTTGGTTAAATCCACATTAAGCCAGATTTGATGTATAGTTGACATTGGTTCATAAGTTGACTAGGCTTAAAATCGGTATCAGTCCTGGGTTGATTGACATCCTGCCTGAACCTCTTTGCTGAGACCTTATACACGGAGTTGGCAGCTTTTATGCTCATTGACCAGAGCAGTGACAACTATAAAAAATATAGGGGTAGGTACCAGAGCATCACACAAGCGACCAACACCCTGTGACACAAAGTACCACCATGCTAATGAGGATCACCCGTGAATGTCCCAGAAACCCTTTTCAGCCGTTAGGCCACATCTGTAGCTAGGCCATACCTATACCCTCATATTCAGGGCCCCCACGGCAGAAGCCAGGGTGGGGCCTCAAATAACAAAAAATTGCATCCCACATGGGGACGACTTGATCTAAAAGTCCTGGAAAGTGAAGTTGGCCAGCCTGATGTTAACCACATGAGCTATTGAGTACACATGATGAGTGTATACAAATGTGAGTCTTACCCCAGATTTACCACTGGCCTGAAAAGGCCTTTTGGGATTAGAACTGAGTATAACTGTTCAGTCCTCAATTAACAAAGTATTTAAGGGGTATTGATAAAAGTTCAGTTTGCTTTTGACATTACAAATTTAAAAAAAAAATGTAATATTGATGAGAAAACTGGAAGAAGTACAGACCGAATTGTTGACAGCTGGAAGAATTAAAAATCTGTTGACAACGGTAAGAATTAAAAAAAAATCAGAGTTGCTGACAACTGTAAGAAATACAGGTCAGAGTTGTTAAAAACTGGAAGGAATGTAGGCCAAAGTGGTTTAAATTGGAAGAAACAAAAGCAAACATTGTTAAATATGTTGAAAATGTACCTGAGCCCAGATTAACCTGCAGATTTAATAATTATATTATTGTTCTTGAAATCCCATATCACGTTTTATTTCAAATACCTGGGTCACTACTGTAGCATTTTAGTTTTGTGGTAATTGTAAAGGTCATAAAAAGACAGTAAATTCAGAAAGGCTAACTGCTCAACAGATTTCTAAACAAAGTGGCGGAAGAAAAATAGTGAGTGACCTTATTTCTGTGCACTTGATTGAAATATTTGGTTGTATGGAATTTTAGCACTACTGTGTTTTATTTTACAGTGAGGGGATACACATAGGAGGTAGTGACACAAAGAATGTCTCCTCATTTGGTCGTGGAGGCCGTAATATGAGATTCCAGCTGCGAGGTAGAGGTAATCTGGGTGCCAGGCCTGTAAGTACACCACAGAGACCCTTATATTCTAGGGACAGAGTTCCTACCTACAGAAGATCAAGGAGTCGGTCTTTCTCCAGCTCTTCGCGTTCCTGGTCCAGGTCGCGATCCAGGTCACGGTCAAGATCAAGGTCACGTTCTGTCTCACCTGATAAACGAAAGAGACGATTTCGCCGCACCAGGTATTTGTATATTGTTTGTCAGTAAAAGTTCTTTGATTGCATTTGACTCTTTCCCCATTCCAGCCACCTGTCATTCAACAGTTTCTATCTCTAAGATTCTGTACTTTAAAGTAAATCTTGTAGTCTCTTTGAGTTAAAACTCTTTCCCCATTCCAGCCACCTGTCATTCAACAGTTTCTATCTCTAAGATTCTGTACTTTAGAGTAAATCTTGTAGTCTCTTTGAGTTAAAACTCTTTTCCCATTCCAGCCACCTGTCATTCAACAGTTCCTATCTCTAAGATTCTGTACTTTAGAGTAAATCTTGTAGTCTCTTTGAGTTAAAACTCTTTCCTCATTCCAGCCACCTGTCATTCAACAGTTTCTATCTGTAAGATTCTGTACTTTAGAGTAAATCTTGTAGTCTCTTTGAGTCAAAACTTTAGGACGTGTCCACACATGAATGAATAAACAGATGTACAGTAAGCTGACGCACACACACACGGGCACAAATGTCTGTGTGCACAGTGTTTATTCTAGGCTAAGCCATAGAGCACAGTTATTCAAGTGTATGCATCCGTATCTTAATCAGAGGTTAGACAGCAGTTTAGAAGAGGTAAGAAAGCAATTGAGATTTAATGAATTAATGTAGCCAGAGACAAAAGAATTTGAGAAATCTCAGCCATGCATAGTGTGATCAATTAACATATAGTGAGCTGTCCATTAAGGCAGTCCAATAGCAAATACTTTCTTTTACATGTAAATTATTACTTTTCAAAATTTTTTACAATTTCCGGCCATATTCCCTGGTGACCCTGTCGTCGAATTAGCGACATCTAGTCTGCAATAGTTTAAAAAAAAAAATTAAACTGCATCTGGATGTTTTTATTGTTCCAAGATGGTTGTGCCCGCGATTGATACCACTTTGAGCTGATACAAGCATTGTTTTCAGTGACATTTTAATAATTTTCGTTACCAATGCATATTCAGCCTTTTTTTAAATTATGTCTGATGACGAAAACCAGACTAGTAGTATTGATGATTCGGAATCTGCCAGAAAATTTAGCTCTGAAAACGATAATTCCTGGATAAGTAGAGGTACACCAGTGAATGTAATTGTCATATCGCAAATGAAAGTAGCGACAACAATGATAGAATTGACCATGGAATTGATGTAGATGCATCTGAAGAAAGAAGTGGGTGTAGCACAAGAGAGTTAATAAGTTAATTATCCTAGTGTCTACATAAGTTAAAACACACAGCATCCTTGTGTACTGCTGGCCTTAAATTATAGGTCATTCCAGAGAAGGGCTGGATGCTACAGAAACATTTATGGTTTCTCAATTACAATATGTGATCTCAGATATGGGATCTTTTTTGAGAACCATAACACTATCTTGTATGTTTTTAAACTCAAGTTTCTTTATATCTATCTGTTATTCTCAGATTGCTATATTTTTGCAGATTATACATTAAATCATAAGTTTAAATGAGGTTGATTGAAACATAGATATTTACTTACGTGTAAATGAGGATTTAGACTTTCACTGTTACTATGATAATATTGTTGAAGGCATAGGTGCTTGTATGTTTACACACACACAAATATATATATCCCTGTGTAAGGTCCGGGAATACCATTGGGGATGGGATGAGGGAGGATAGACACACTTGCGCTCCCCCCCCCCCCCCCCCCCACAAGCGTGTGGTTAGAGACAGCTAATAGTTGATGTTTCCTTCGAGGTCAGAGTGTGTGTGCCTGAGCGGCAAGGAACTAACAGCTTGCGTATAAATAAACCAGATCTGTAAAATAGATATGAAAGCAAAAGTCAAGTTCTAGAAGAAAACTATAAGTGGACTGGAGTTAACAGCTGTGAATGCTAAGAAGGGGATAAATAATAAGTTAATTACGCACACACACAATCCATCCTTGCGTGGGTTCCGGAATCCCAAGGGAAGATAAAAAACACACATTGCCCTGGCCCAAGCATGTCATATGAGATAACTAGTTAGGGTTGCCTTTTTTTTTTAAGGTTAGAGTACATCTGCCTGAGTGGCAATGAATCAGCAGCCTCCATACAAAAAAGCCATACCTGTAAAATGGAAGTTCACGCAGATCTTAGGTTCTGGAAAAAGACTAAAGTCCAGAAATGGACGAACAACCAGAACTTTCTGCCAGAGTTAATAGCGGGTGAAGACTAAAATGAAGAACAAGAATAAGTTAATTATGCAAGTGTCTACATTAGTCAATACACACCGCATCCTTGTGTACTGCTGGCCTTAAATTATAGGTCATTCCAGAGAAGGGCTGGATGCTACAGAAACATTTATGGTTTCTTAACTACATTATGATCTCAGAAATGAGATCTTTTTTAAGAACCATTACATTCTCTTATGTGGTTTAAAACTTAAAAACTTTGCAGATTATACATTAAATCATAAGTTTGAATGAGGTTGATTGTAACAACGATTTTTACATGTGTAAATGAGGATTTGGACTTTCACTGTTACTATGACAATATTGTTGAAGGCATAGGTGCTTGTATGTTTACACACACACAAATATATATATCCCTGTATAAGGTCCGGGACTACCATTGGGGGCGGGATGAGGGAGGATAGACACACTTGTCTCCCACGAGGGTGTGGTTAGAGACAGCTAATAAGGGATGTTTCCTTCGAGGTCAGAGTGCATGTGCCTGAGCGGCAAAGAACGAACAGCTTGCGTATAAATAAACAAACCAGATCTGTAAAATAGATATGAATGCAGGTGTCAAGTTCTAGAAGAAAACATAAGTGGACTGGAGCTAACAGCTGTGAATGCTAAGAAGGGGATAAATAATAAGTTAATTATCCTAGTGTCTACATAAGTTAAAACACACAGCATCCTTGTGTACTGCTGGCCTTAAATTATAGGTCATTCCAGAGAAGGGCTGGATGCTACAGAAACATTTATGGTTTCTCAATTACAATATGTGATCTCAGATATGGGATCTTTTTTGAGAACCATAACACTATCTTGTATGTTTTTAAACTCAAGTTTCTTTATATCTATCTGTTATTCTCAGATTGCTATATTTTTGCAGATTATACATTAAATCATAAGTTTAAATGAGGTTGATTGAAACATAGATATTTACTTACGTGTAAATGAGGATTTAGACTTTCACTGTTACTATGATAATATTGTTGAAGGCATAGGTGCTTGTATGTTTACACACACACAAATATATATATCCCTGTGTAAGGTCCGGGAATACCATTGGGGATGGGATGAGGGAGGATAGACACACTTGCCCCCCCCCCCCCCCCCCCCCCACAAGCGTGTGGTTAGAGACAGCTAATAGTTGATGTTTCCTTCGAGGTCAGAGTGTGTGTGCCTGAGCGGCAAGGAACTAACAGCTTGCGTATAAATAAACCAGATCTGTAAAATAGATATGAAAGCAAAAGTCAAGTTCTAGAAGAAAACTATAAGTGGACTGGAGTTAACAGCTGTGAATGCTAAGAAGGGGATAAATAATAAGTTAATTACGCACACACACAATCCATCCTTGCGTGGGTTCCGGAATCCCAAGGGAAGATAAAAAAACACACATTGCCCTGGCCCAAGCATGTCATATGAGATAACTAGTTAGGGTTGCCTTTTTTTTTTAAGGTTAGAGTACATCTGCCTGAGTGGCAATGAATCAGCAGCCTCCATACAAAAAAGCCATACCTGTAAAATGGAAGTTCACGCAGATCTTAGGTTCTGGAAAAAGACTAAAGTCCAGAAATGGACGAACAACCAGAACTTTCTGCCAGAGTTAATAGCGGGTGAAGACTAAAATGAAGAACAAGAATAAGTTAATTATGCAAGTGTCTACATTAGTCAATACACACCGCATCCTTGTGTACTGCTGGCCTTAAATTATAGGTCATTCCAGAGAAGGGCTGGATGCTACAGAAACATTTATGGTTTCTTAACTACATTATGATCTCAGAAATGAGATCTTTTTTAAGAACCATTACATTCTCTTATGTGGTTTAAAACTTAAAAACTTTGCAGATTATACATTAAATCATAAGTTTGAATGAGGTTGATTGTAACAACGATTTTTACATGTGTAAATGAGGATTTGGACTTTCACTGTTACTATGACAATATTGTTGAAGGCATAGGTGCTTGTATGTTTACACACACACAAATATATATATCCCTGTATAAGGTCCGGGACTACCATTGGGGGCGGGATGAGGGAGGATAGACACACTTGTCTCCCACGAGGGTGTGTGGTTAGAGACAGCTAATAAGGGATGTTTCCTTCGAGGTCAGAGTGCATGTGCCTGAGCGGCAAAGAACGAACAGCTTGCGTATAAATAAACAAACCAGATCTGTAAAATAGATATGAATGCAGGTGTCAAGTTCTAGAAGAAAACATAAGTGGACTGGAGCTAACAGCTGTGAATGCTAAGAAGGGGATAAATAATAAGTTAATTATCCTAGTGTCTACATAAGTTAAAACACACCGCATCCTTGTGTACTGCTGGCCTTAAATTATAGGTCATTCCAGAGAAGGGCTGGATGCTACAGAAACATTTATGGTTTCTCAATTACACTATGTGATCTCAGATATGAGATCTTTTTTAAGAACCATTACATTCTCTAATAGCTATATGGTTTAATGCTCAATTATTTCTATCTGGCATTCTTACTTTCTGTAATTTTGAAGATTATGTACAATCTGAACATATTTCTTATTGGAAACACGGTCTTTAAAGGTCTAGTGCAGTTTTTATAAGCATATATGTTATCATTAGTTTGAATGAGGTTGACTGTAACAAAGGTATTCACCTGTAAGAGAATTTGCACTTTTCCTGTTACTGTAATGCTGTTGTTGAAATGTGTGCTTGTATTTTGAACACTACTGCCCCGCCTCCAAGCTTGTCGTTTGAGACATCTAATTAGGGATTTTTGTGTGTGTGGTTAGAGTGCATCTGCCTGAGTGGCAAGGAATCAGCAGTCTCCATATGTCATGAGTCAACTTTACCACACACTGTGAGAGAAAGACAAACAACGACTAGACTCATAACAGCAGACAGGTCAATTACTGATCAGACGGGCTGTGTGTAGACCTGCAGGGCGATACAGGTAACTGAGTGGGGAGGTTACAAGGGGACTTGACAAACAGGTAGAGTGACACGCGGCAGTTAGTAGTTTGACAGTCCAGTGTACGGATGTGTTTGTCTGGTGCCCTTTTAAAATGTGGGAATAGTTTTTAGCTTGGGATGGACTGGATTTAAAACTGGAGAGGACAGTAGTGGTTATTCATACCTGTGACAAGTGTTTCTGTTGTGTAGCCGGATTATAAAGTTAAGTGTGGTAGCCAGGATGATACGTAATTATTGCTATAGAGGCATCTGCTAGCCTCTCATGACTTTGTTCATGTTGCTAGGATAATTTGGGATCAGCTATACCAGCGTACTTTTGATGTATTTAGCCAGTGACTACCTGGGATTAGTGTGCTTGTGAGCCAGAAGTATAAAATCGGTGGCTACTCAGTAGTCGATAACATTGTGTGGAGGCCATGCTAACTTTGCAATTATCATGAGTTCTTAAATAAACATTATTTGAGAACTGGAACAAGGTCATCAACGTTTACATGTTCATGAAAGTGTGGGTACACCAGGCACACATAACAATGCTACTTGTGTCACACCTATAAAAGGTGTTTGACACCATACAAATAAGCCAGATCTGTAAAAGTGAAGTTCATGCAGATCTGAAGTTCTGGAAAAAGACTAAAGTCCAGAAATGGACGAACAACCAGAACTTTCTGACGGAGTTTACAGC